TTTTTGCAAAATAGCAATAAAACTACCAAAATCTTCCATGTAAAGTCCACAAATTTATATCCCATATTTTGTACAAAATATTGACGTGTGATGACAATTCTGTAATGTATAAAATCTAAATTAATTAACAAGTAAATATATAAAAATGTTCAGCATACAGTCTAAGGATAAATAAAAAAACATGTGCCAGAGAATCCTACAAACTGTCGTGTTCAGTCCAAATCTTTGAATTGTTAATATATTTTAATAATTATTTTGTATGTATTTATTTAAAACTGTGCAATGCAAGAACAAAGCATTTAGAATATGAATATGTAGTTAAGGTTGTTATATCGTAAAGTATTGTAAATGCAATTTTATTATTGTTAATAAATAATATTTTAAAATATTGTTCTTTTATTTCTCTAATTTGCCTTTATTAGAAAATATATATAAATATACTACTTGAACTACTAAGTATATGCAGTTAATAATTACAGTTTGCTGTTTGGTTGAATTTGAGATTTATTATTGGAACAAAAACTAGATTATGTTATTCGCCAAGGTTCAATTTACATTTAGCCCAAATTTCAAGAAATTTTCATTCATCGTGTGGTGTCTGTTATGACTAGACGTGTACATAATTTTTGCAATCATTCAATCAATGTATGCATAGAATATTGAGCCGTAATACATTAGAAATATAGCCTAAAGTGGTGTTGAGTGAAGTGTTTGTGTGTGAAAAGCCGGTTGTTTACGAGTGCATAGTCTGTGCTCTTCGAAACTACTTACAATACGTTTATTAGAAAGAGATAGATTAATTATGCAGCGCACACCGCCGACTACGCTGAACATGAAGTGTTCATCTAATCCCGATATCTCGGCGGTAGCTACTCAAGACAATGACCGACAAATTAAATTACGAAAACGTAAACAACCAGAATCCGAAATTCTTGGATCTGTTGTGGACATGGTCGAAAATAAAATAAAAGAGGAGTTGAATGCCTGGAAAAGCCGGTTAGATGAATCCATAGCCGAGTCAATTAAGAATGCAGTAAATACTACGATTGACACCCAAGTGGCTAAATTGACATCCTCTATAACTGAATCTCTCCAAAATATATCTTCAAGATTAAGTGACATTGAAAAGTCCTTGAACCATGTCAGTGAAGGACATGACAGTCTTGAAAGTCGTGTGAAATCGTTAGAGGAATGTATATTACATGAGGACAGCACGCAACATCAAATGGCAGCCCTTGAAAACAAAATAGATCAGATGGAGCAACAAGCCCGGCAATGTAATATTGAAATCGCAAATATACCTGAGCGTCGAGATGAAAACATCATATTTCTATTAGATAAGATTGGTGCTGTCATTAAACACCCTATCAAACCTGTGGATGTAATTTCAGCCCATCGTGTGCCTCATATGGATAAAAAAAATGCTCACCCAAAGAATCTAGTTGTCAAATTTGTATCTAAAATACTGCGTGATAATATAATAATTGCCGCGCGTGCCATGAAAGGAATTAAGTCGGACCAATTATCGATAACAGGGACTCCTCGTAATATTTATATAAACGAGCATCTAACTCCAAAAAATAAGTACATATTTCGTGCGAGTCGTGAAGCTGGCAAAAAACATGGTTTTAAACATATTTGGGTCAAACATGGCACAAACATGGTCCTTGCTCGACAAACTGACTCGTCGCCTATTTTCGCCATTCGTAATGAAAGTGACATTAACAAGATCAAATCCTGAACTGTATGTGTTTTGTTTTTATATTTATATACTTATACTTATATTATTGCAAAATTGTGCAGAAATAATGATCAATTGTCAAAAGTTATATGACTTCGTATATCTTGTCTTACACAAATGTAGTGTGTATTACAAAAAAATACATTCCTTATTATGTATCTATCGCAAAAAATATATACTGAACATAAGCTATATACTTGGATTATTTCATATATATATAAATAAAAATTGTATACTTGTTTTGCATAAATGTAGTATGTGTATCAAATATGTATATCAGTTATTATATATATACTTAGTCAAAAAAATACGGCGATTATAAACTACATTCTTAAAGTATTTTATGTGTGTGCTGATAAATACTTTTTACTTGTTCTGCTCAAATATATTAGAAAAATACATTACTTATTGTTCATATTTAGTAAGGAATATGTAGTGAATGTAAGCTATGTACTCGGGATATTTTATGTACGTACAAATAAATATTGCATACTTGTTTTGCATGGTTATAGAATGTATATAATAAAAAAATTATATACATTTGGTAAAGAATGCATGGTGAGTTTAGGCTGTATATTTAAGTTATTTTATGTGTATACTTATGATTGTTTTGTATTTGTTCTGCATAAGCGTATCAGAAAAATATATTACTTACTAGTAATATTTAGTAACAAACATATAGTGAATGTAAGCTATATACTTAGGTTATATTATGTATGTACAAATAAATATTGCGAAAGAATCTCCAATTTTCTAAATAATACTGTATCATGGCATATCAGGTTTATTAAATATCTATCGGTAGTTTTCATAAGTTCCCACAAAAATGAATATTTAAAATATAATAGATTTTTAAATACAATTCTTAACCCTTAATAATTTATCGGTTTATTATCAGAACTGCCGAGGGATAAGAACAAAATTGCATACATTGTACATGAACATTCTATCACAAAATTATGAAGTTATAGTGTTAACCGAAACTTGGTTACATAGTGGAATATCGGATAATGAATTTATTGATTGTAGGTATCAAGTTTTTAGATGTGACCGTAATCGAGAGGTTAGCGGCCGGCGTGATGGTGGCGGCGTACTGATAGCGGTGTTGCGTTCCTTATGCACAAATGTGTTTCTGCCCCCCGCCGCTGACTTAACGTCCCTTCCCCCGCTTGTAGATTATTTAATGGTTCAGATAAATATTGCAAACTTCAAGTATATTATTAGTACTGTTTACATTCCACCGGGACAAAGTAGTGATACGTACAAAGCGTACTTTAATCTTCTTGAGAATGCACTATGTAATTATGATTCCGAATTTCTTATCACAGGAGACTTTAACTTACCGAAACTTCAATGGAAATGTAAAGAATCGTATCAGCAACCAATAATTGATGACATGAATCAATCGCATATAGTTTTATCCAACTTCTTGTCAATGTTGAACTGATTTTCGCAAGGCGTTTGACAGAATCGATCACAGAATGTTACTAGAAAAAATAGCCTTTTGTGGTATAAGAGGAAACCTCTGGAGATGGTTCAAGTCTTATATTTCTAATAGAACTCAAAAAGTTGTTATTAAGGGATTTGAATCTCAATGTGTACAAGTTACCTCAGGAGTTCCTCAAGGATCCATTCTTGGCCCCCTTTTATTTATACTATTTATAAATGACATTAATACATGTTTTAAGCATTGCAATTTTCTTTTATATGCTGATGACTTAAAATTATATTATACTATTAACAATATAGAAGACCATGTTAAATTTCAAGAAGATTTAAATCGTTTTACAATTTACTGCAATAATAACAAACTTGAACTTAGTGTGAATAAATGTAAAGCCATCACATTTACAAAGAAAATAAAAATTAGCAACTACCCATATTCACTCTGTAATACAATACTAACTAAAGTTAACGTCATCAAGGATCTTGGAATAATTCTTGATTCTAAACTACATCTTGATTTACACATAGAGAGTATAATTAATAAGGCTTATAAAATGTACGGGTTCATAATGAGATCAGGTACTAGGTTTAGAAACTGTTCTACATATATTCATCTGTTTCAGTCATTAGTAAGATCACAGTTAGAATACGCAGTGACCGTATGGAATCCTCATTATGATAAATATAAGAATAAACTAGAAATGGTTCAAAAGAAGTTCCTCAGACGTATACATTTTATGTTTTTTCGTAGAAGACTATCCTATAATGATCTACTTAAACATTATAAATTGCTGAGCTTGAGCTTAAGACGCTCTCAATTACAATGTATGCTGCTTTATGATATCTGTAATAACAAATATGATTGTTTAGATATGTCATCAAGTATATATTACAACATACCCCCCAGAGTTGAAATGAGAACATCACGCACCCATAGACTCTTTTCGATTAAAGCAAGTCGAACTAATGCAGGTATTAGTAAACCTATTACTCGCATTTTGCAGTCGTACAATGATAACTTTAATGAATTGGATATATTTAAATTGTCATATATAGGTTTTAGAAGGTCAGTAATTAATAAACTTAAAGCCTTACGTATACTATAATCACATAGAATCATAATATAATTCCTTCTTTTTACCTAGTCATACTGATGTACACACATACATACGCGCGCACCAACACACACACACACCCACAACACTCATATGTACAAACACACATTCGCACATACAAATGATTTTTCCTCGTATCTTTAGTAAAACCTGTAACACACATATCTCATATCTCTTTTCCTCATTCAACCAACTACATATACACCATCATAATTATAAGTAGAAAATATATTAGCTTGTATGCGTTTAGTATGTATGCGACCCACATATCTTAATACTTTAATATAATTTGTGATCATGCATGTTGGGTTTACAATAACATAGTACGTAGAAAATGTAAAATAATTATAAGTTTCCTAATTGTGAACCTGTTTTTGATCCTAAATAAATAAATAAAAAAAAATAAAAAAATTTAGTTCAGTGCTTTAGGCGTCCAAATGTTTCGGATATACCGAAATACTTTATTATACTGTCTTTATTTCAATCTCACATAATTTAGGCGTCAAGCAGCTTACTTCGATTCATCGTGTTTCGATTGTGCGGTGCAGATTAGGCAGTCAAATTATACCCTGTAATGGCAACATACATGTATGTATATATATATATATATATATATATATTATTAGTACCCTGGAATGGCAACTCTTGAGTATCATGGGTCTCACATGATAACGTGATGTCCGTAGTAGGTGACAGTTACCATTTACCATCAGGTGAACAGCTTGTTTGCTATTATAGTTGAATGAAAAACAACATGTGTAATATTTCAGATATTTTTTATTAACAAATAATCAGTTGACAAAGAACTCGTTCCCGCGCTGGTTCTGATTGTGGCGCCATTTGCAGGCCCAGTTCCAGCAGGACATGCCCGCCCACGGCTCGTCTGTGTAGAACACCTGCCCGTTTTGGTACATCTGCCAATCATAACGGGGAAAGAAAATTGTTAAAAGTGATGTAAATTGTAAATAAAACTAGTAAAAAGCCTGGAAATTAATATTCCAGGGGATGTGTGATATTGGTGACTACCCCCTCTTGACGTCATTGTTGCGTTAGAGCGAGTTCGGTACTTAGAGCGGTTGAAGACCAACTCCAGCCTGACGGTTACGACATTAGACAGATTGAATTAAGTATTAAAAGAGATTATTACTTCTTAAAAAGGCGACAGCGAACTTGCAATATCCCTTGTCTTGCCTGGGTGCCCACGGGCGGCGATAATTTTATTTATTACTTTATTTGCTTTATTGACCATTAAAATAGATAGAACAGGTGGACTTAATGCTATAGCATTCCCTCCCAGTCAACCTTTGGGATGTGTAGTAATACTTGATTGCGGTTAAAAGAATAAAGAATTACTTATAATACAATAAGTGATCACTTACTATCAGGTAAGTACCAAGTTCATTTGTCTCTATACAATAAAACACATGGCAAGTTCATCGTCAGATGAAGCTATAAAGGACAGCTGCGGACAACAGCATTACTATTACTAGTTTACTGCCGGACCGTATAGGGGACTATAGTAAATTGGTTTAGAGAAAATATACTTACAAATGACAAATCCGAACTCTTATATGTAACACCGTCGTATCCAAAACGGAACACGAAGTTCATGGAGAAAATGGAGAATATACATCTGACGTCGGTGGTGGCTGGTATGAAGTAACGGTAGGGACCACACCAGTAGGACACCTTTGGCTCATATTCCACCGACTCTGGGAACTCCTCGCGGGGGTTTATTCTGAAAATAATTATGTACAATCAAATGAGACCGCATTGGTTTACTTTTAGTTTTACAACTGTACTACCTACTATACTCGCGTGCAAAAGCATGGAATCATTTATTTGGAATTGATTCTGTTAAGGTTGAATAGCGCTAGTATAAAGTCTACGACTAGAGTGGCTACTAGGGCTACAATAAACAAGGAGGGTCTTGGTTATTGTCACTCTAAAAAAACTGTGAAAGTGTGTGTCATATATGTGTTCTATAAATTGTAAATAATAGTGTTAAAGTGTTCGTGTCGTGTCGTGTACCCATTCGCCCGATCCCTTCCTTCCCGATCCTTTTGTAATACCCGTAGATGTCTGCTTCCATCTCCACCGCTAACAATATTTGGTAAGCCACTCTAGTTATATTAGATTCCGTATTTAATAACTAGTTCAGAACTATAAAATTGGTATCATTGAAAAGTTAAACTGTCAACTTTAAATTGATTGATACCAAAGTTCGTTCGTTCGGGAGGGTTCGTTCAAGAAATCCTGCTCCTTCAAGTGTGAATGAGCTGAAATCGGCTTTGATGGAGGAGTGGGAAGGTATCCCCGCAAGAATCGATTCAGAAACTGATTAGGCTTAAGCTAACTATGAAAAACCGTCTTCTAGCAATTAGGGCCAGGTGAGGGAACATAAAATATTGAATCGTAATTTTAAGGCCGAATATTTATTTTTACTTTCTTCATTCATTCTTTTTCCATTATCTTTACATTTCCTAACTCCTTCACTCGTTATAAAAACAATTAGCTGTTGTTGTTTTAAGAGCCATGATACTGTCAAAGATATTGTTGAATAAACATAGAACTGCATAAAGTTGTGTCAATATGAAAAAATATTTTGAAATATTTTTTTTTAACGTAATGTCGTGTGTAGCTTATTAATAAATGTATTAGAACGAGGTTTGTAATCGATATCTAGACTGGCTGGTATGGCAGATGAAGTATATATGTATATTTGAAAAGAGAGTGTGTTTTGTCATCTTGTCTGCCGTCATATTAGTGTATCTGTAGGTACTATCTATATTGTTGTAATAAATATTTTTTTTATAATTTTATCTTGTTCAGAAATATAATTTTGTTTATCTGTTCGTCTACGTTATTTACTTGTACACCACTAGTTACTCTGTAAAAGTGATAAGTTCAGAGGTAACTTTCCTCACAAAAATATAATACCTAAAATAAAATGGCGAGATTTGGGGAAAAAACGACAAAACGAGTAAATAATTAGTCATATAACATCTGGAAGTTTGGGATCAAACCAATACTAAAAACTAAAAGGACTGCTCTTTAGAATACTTCTATGCAATAATGATAAGATAAAAGATGACAATTGGAAAAAAAGACACTCAAGCATAGACCATTATCATTTCATACATTTATAAAAAACATGTACCTACGACGACATTTACTAACTTATGAAAGATATGTTCGTCTCACAAGTTTGTACGTTGGTTCAGGGCGTAATAAATGTCAAATTTTACAAGACTTTCTGTTGGCGACAGACCTCCTTTTATAGATATTTCTATTTTTAAACCTTATATTTTTTATATACAATTTTTGACATATATTTTTTATTATATTGTTTTGCTTCATTGTGTCATATATTCTACGACTAAATAGGTACATCACTCAAGTTTAGTAAGTAATTTTATTTATTTTACCCTACTTCACTGCCCAGAATATTAATAAATACCTAGCAGAAATAGAAAATCTTTGTTTTAAACTGAAAAAACCTGGTCAAGAACTGGATTACAAAGTTGTAATTTTAAAAATATGAAGTTTACTACCATTTGTAGACGAAGACAATTATACCTACCTATTTTATATTACTGCATGGGAATCGACAGAATCAGATGAGAAGACACAAAAACTTAAAAAGTCGCCCTTTAACCGAAGAAAATAGGCTGAATAAAAATAAAGGTAATTTTACCTTTATCTGACTAATATTATAAACACGGGCAAAATTGGTTTACCATAAAATTATTCATGTTAAGACCCGGTTAACAATAAAAATAATGTATATTAAAAACTAAAATTTAAATTTAACTGAATTCACTTACTTGTAGACGCACTGCGCGTCGCTCCAGTTGTCGTCCGAGTGGCAGTAGAGACCTTGGCTGGGGTCCTTGGCCTGGAATTGTTCTGCGTGTGGTCCCACGTACGTTGCCTCCGAATGCCGGTGGTAGAATCCGGTGAAAGCGAAGGCACCTAACGTAGATTTTTTTTAATGTGGACTGATGATCTTTTTTCTAACAATGTACCAAGTTAGGTTGACCTCCACGCGGTTACCCTGGAAACCATTGTGATAAATTCTTGGTGAATTTGTCACGATGACTGACCTGACCTCATGCTCATCATCCTCCACTGGCCAGCCAGCCAGCCATCGTAAACCGTTATCGCAGGCGGGTGCAGCATTCTATTATCATACATAAAAAAAACTAATAAAATAAACCGTTTAGAAGTGATTTTTGACATTCATCTGACTTCAAAAAGGAGGTGAGGATACTTAATACAACAAATTTTTTTTTTACCTCGGACTTTATTGCTATATAAACCTACTTTAAAAATATTTTTTATTAGGAAACTGGTGATTCTTTTGGTCTCATTAAAATGTTTAAGTTATACAAAATATTGCATTTATTGATTAAGTACGTGAAGTAAAAACTTTGTACCCGTGTTTCCGAAAATTGCGCGGACGGAAGTGTATGAAATTTCATACTCGCGAATTAAATAAAAAGATAAAATAGATTAAATTCAGTGATTCGTCTGCAGAAAATAGAAAAACAAGTAATCTGCATCATCCATTGTTAGAACAAAGAAAAAAAAATGGAGGACAGTTTTATGGGCTTGAAACCCCCAGAAACTCTTCAGAAATTAGAGGCGGAGGAATTTACGAAATGGAAAACAAGATTTGAAATTTATCGGAAAGCGACTGGTATGGATAAACCGAAACCAAATAGCAATTATGTTACATTACATGGGTGATTTAGGAATTGACATCCATAGTACTTTTGATTTAAATGAGGAACAAATGAATGATTATGGTTATGAGAAAAATTGTAGACCATTTTATACTCTTGAGAAATGAAAGTGTGTACTGTCATGTATTCATGAATAGAAATCAAAATGAAAATGAGTCCTTCGACTGCTACGTAACTGAGTTAAGAAAACTAGCTCAGCAATGTAACTTCGGTGAATTAAGAGATAGAATGATTAATGATAGAATAATAGCCGGAATAAGAAATACTAAATTAAGAAATAGATTATTAAGCGAAGGGGACATTGATCTAAATAAAGCATTGAAAATTTGTAGAGTAGTGAAATTACAAATAAACAGATAAGACAAATGGAGAATCAGGCAGGAAACAGCCAAGAAATAAATTTAGTCAAGAAAAATATAAGAAGTAATAATCAGGAAACTCATCATTTTACAAACAAGTATATACCTAATAATCAATATAAAAATTACCACAGAGGAAATAATAATTATCAAAATCAGAAAAACAGTAATATGTCATAAAATAATCAAGAAAATTACAATAACAGGCGTAAGATTAATCATAATTTCATATGTCAGTGGTGTGGATACAACCATGAAAGAACAATTGTCCAGCATTTGAGAAAACATGCTCAAATTGCAACAAAACAGAGCATTTTAAGAAGATGTGCTATTTCAGAGGAAGAATCAAAACCGTAATGGCAAGTCAAGAAGAAAAGAGTGATAGTGAAAAAAGTGTTAAATTGTTTTCAGTTGGTGTTCGCAGTGATGAGGCAAGCTGGTTTGAAATGGTACATTTTGTGCAACAAGGACAAAGTATAATATTTAAATTGGACACTAGTGCACAATGTAATTTCATTGAAAGTTTGTAATAATAGGAAACTCTTTAAGTTTGAAAAAAGTAGTCTAACATTAACTAATTTTAATGGAGGAAAAATTCCTACTATTAGACAAATTGATTTAAAATGTAGACTGGAAAGAGGTAGAATGGAAGGGAACAGATTGTTAATTTTCAGGTATGCTATGATAATTATACACCAATTTTAGGGTTGCCAACTATTCAAAAATTTAATTTACTAAATAGAAATATTAGTATGGACAAAATTAATGTTGTAATGTGTAAAGGGAGATATGAATGGGAGTTATACAATAAATACAAAGTTATATTTCAGGGTATAGGAGAAATTAAAGATTTCAAATACAAAATTGATTTGAAAGAAAGAGTGCAAGGTAAAATTGAACCATGTAGACATGTTCCATTTAAATTAATGCAAAAGTTAGGTAGGTAGGTAGGAAAGTAAAAATATTATTTCAAAGATACAAAAACCTACTACATTTGTTAGTCATTTCATTAGTTATTACTACAAAACCTAATGGTACATTAAGAATTTGTTTAGATCCTCAATATCTAAACCCTCAAATAAAACGTCAATAAATATTAATTCCTATATTAGATGAAATTGCTTCAAAGTTAAAGGGTAGTCGCATATTTAGTACATTAGATGCAAATTCAGTTTTTTTATGATTAAGCTTTCTGAGGACTCCAAGGAGCTCACTACATTCAGTACACCCTATGGGTGATATTTTTATAACAGATTACCGTTTGGTTGGTCATCTAGTCCAGAAGTATTTCATGGTGTTTTCAGTAAAATATTTGAGGATATACAAGGAATAGAGATTTATATTGATGATTTACTTATTCATACCATAACAGAAAAAGAGCATGATTCAATTTTAGAAAAAGTACTTAAGAGGGCTCAGGAATTTGGTATTAAATTTAATATTAATAAATGTAATTTTAAAAAAGTCTCATGTGAAATATTTAGGACATATTTCTACAGAAAAAGGTATAAAGGTAGATAAGGATAGAGTTAAGTTAATAGAAGAAATGGAAGTGCCAAAATCACAAACAGAATTATTAACATTTTTAGGTGTAATCAATTATGTGTCAAGATTCATTCCGAATATGTCAAACTTAACAGCTCCATTGCGTAAATTAATTAAAAAACAAGTTCCATTTATATGGTCCGTTGATCAGCAAACTGCATATGATAAATTGGAAAAAATGTTAGTTGAACCCCCAATATTGTTTTATTTTGATAATAATAAAAAGATTGTTTTAAGTGTGGATGCTTCTAAAGATGGTTTAGGTGCAGTAATCTTCCAGAATAGGAAACCAATAGGATATAGTTCAAGGTATATGACAGAAACTGAAAAGTCATATAGTCAAATTGAGAAAGAAAGTCTTGCTATTTTAAATGATTGTAAAAAAATTCATCAGTATTTATTTGGGCAACAATTTGTAGTAGAATCTGACCTTTAGTTTCTATTTTTTCAAAACCGTTAAATAAATGTCCTGCTCGATTGCATTGCAGATTACCGTCTTCAGTGCCGTGATCACACAGACAATATCATTGTATTAGTTTTTAAATATTATATTATATGTATGTCAGTCTATAAGGTATTTATAATATGGGCCTAGTTGCCTGAAATAAATGAATAAATAAATAAAATAAAAATAGTAATCGTATGGAACCAATGATATGTAAAGAGATACCTAACAATCCATGTCAGATATATTTTTTCTTTATAATAAACCATAATAATTATTTGCTTATAACAAATTTACTATAAGTATCTACACTTATAGTAAATTTGTTGAGATTCAGCAGTTATCAAATTTATCAACAGAAAGTGTAATTCTGTGTATTAAAGAAATATTTTCTAGATATGGGGTACCTAATATAGTATATTCTGATTCAGGTAGTCAGTTTACAAGTGAAGACTTTAAAATATTTAATAAAAAATGGAATTTTGATCACAAGATCATAAGCCCAAAACCTCACCAAGGAAATGGTCTTGCTGAAAGATACGAGTACAAACTATTAAAAACATATTGCAAAAATAATTTATGAGAAAAAAGATATACATTTAATTGGTGTATTCCGAATACACCAGTATCTCAAGATGTTACAACTCCAGCAGAAATGTTATTCAATAGAAGTATTAGGAATATATTACCATATATACATAATGATAATTTTGTTAAGAAAGATTTTACTAAGGAATTGATAGAAAGACAGAGTAAACAGAAAATGTATCAATATTATATACAATAAAGTATAATTTCTAAATAAAATATAAATGATTTGAATGAATAAGTAAGAACTTCATAACAAGTATACCTAAGATGTTCGCTACAGTGATTAAGATGACCACCGCGCTACAGTATATTTAAGTAGTATAGTTAGGTTTCCGCATTGAATATTTGTGATCTCACAAATGTTAATAGTAGCGGAATTAAACAAAACAATACAAATTACCATTAAGTACTTACTACTTCAGATTGACACAGTAATTTTCCTTTAGAAGAATTAATTACCTCTGAAAGTGTAACAGTGTGGTTTCCGCTCGCTGGCCAGGATCATCTGCGCGTCTTCTTGGTTGTGTGCCGACACCACGTAGTAAGATGTACCCAGACATTTGAATTCTAAAACGTACACATTGGACAATAGCTTGTGCCTACACTTGTAATATATATGTCAACAATCGGCACTCTTCCAGTTGTTGACGTCTCCATATAAGTTGGGTACATTTATCTTGTGTAAAGTCAGTCAGCAATACGACTCCGCGTTGAGTGTTCGCGTTACTCGTACTTATAAGCCATGTAGCACACTATCAAATAGTTACTAATTTAGCACAATTATTACACCCGTACACTCACTATCTAGATCAATATTTTCCATAAGAATTTTAGAAAAGCTAATGTGATGTGATGATCTAGATAGTACAGGAAACAAATTAAGTAGCGACACCTCATCCCATCATAGATAATGTTACAGTTGTGTTGCAGATTGACAGTTACTGACAGCCTACATAAATTTAATATATAAAAAATAAATATATGTTTAAAATTTTATACAATAAAATATGTTGAAAACTGAAAATGTAGCAGCACTATTATCTTACTCGCCGTCAATATATGTACAATTAAACGACCGCACAACAACGATTTTCCACAAGTAGCGAGGTACATCGACCCACAGCCCACAAGTAAGCGAGAATAATAATAATAATTATAATTCAAGACAATTCACAAGACACACTTGCTAGCAATGTACCATGTCGGCCAGGTTGAGTTCCACACGGTTTCACCTAGAAACCATCAAATTTCTGGTACATTCTACCTCAAAGGGAGTACCTTACTCTCAGTTCGTCTCTGCCTTACTGGGCGATAGAGGTAGGGCGGAGTTGGGTACGGCGCTGCCTCTAGGACGTATAACTAACCTGGACTAGTGTAGAGTCCAAAAGGTATCTTCGCCTGCGTTGACCTAATCTTCGCTTCCGAAGTGTCCATTTTCTTATTCAGTTTTAGCTGCACCATGGACATGAGGGCCGTGTCTGTAGCGAACAGCAATCGTTTCAAATCCTTGATGTGCGCGTCTATGAAAGCGAATAGCTTCTTTTGTCCTTTCTCCAGGATCTCGCGGCGTTCCGTCTGTTTTAGGTCAAGAATTAATATTTTAATTATATTCATTATTTATGTTATTTTGTTGTATTTTAGTATTGCACCTATCCCAAATGATGGGGTCGGTACTTTAATGACTATGTTCTTAATAATAATAATTTATTTATTTGCTTGCTACGTGGTAGTTTCGGATCTTACTAACTAATAAAAGTACATGACATGCAGCACCCATTAGAGGTATGCAAATACTGAAATTAACTCATATTCAATTTAATATAAAGTTATGTCATTACATTACTTAATGGTGGAGTTATGGTTACGGCTTACCATGAGGTGGACCGTGAGGTTATTCGCCATTCCAATAAAATAAAAACAACAGTCGTAAATTATACATTACCGGGTTGTGTGGCTCTTTCATACGTCCATTCATGTAACTGTAATATTCCTGAAGTTTTTCGAATTTCTCATCCGCGTAGCTGTGCCGCGGGTCGATGATATCACTACTCGGCATGTTATAAGGTTTCTGTAAATAATGATGATTTATGTCAAAAGAAAGTCGTATGCGCTCTGTGTGTTTCTTGCTATTGTTTGGAATGAAACCGGCAACAAACATTTAGTTCATTTTTATACGGCTTGGTGTCGCTCTCATTGATCTTCCTAAAATATGGTCGAGCGCAGTGATGGCTGGCTTATACGAACGAAGACTCACGAATGCTGCTTGTAGGGCCTGGTCTTCTCTTATCACTACGACCGATTTAATCTTATTGTGTATTTATATTTGATCCTAATAAATTAGTGGTAGTTCGTAGTTTGTATTCACAAGTTTCGACTTGAAAGATATGAATTTACAAGGATTATTTAACAGAGCAACACACAAGTTTCTTGCTCGTTCTTCTTGTTATGAGAATGAGTGGTAGATTAAAAATATTGTTATGACTATATTAAGTTTATTTGAATAAAGCATTTTCTATTCTAGTCTATTCTGTTCTGTGTCTGCCATGTTAAGTAAAAAACATTATTCATACAACTGTTTTTTATCTAATCCAATTGTTTGCAATTTCTTTGATTGATTTAGTGATAAATGGGTTACATGACGGATGTCACTTTACGGTAGTGTTATGATAATCGATAGTCTAGCTATAAGACGTCACTAGTTGTAAAAGGATGTAGATACAACACTAGTCGTGTGAGACGCAATAGATAGATTCACATTTGTAACCACGTCATTGTACTGTAAGAACTTATTAATTATATCGTATCAAACATACCAGTCTATTATTTGGCCAAACCAATACATGGTGCCAGGTGTAAAAATTAAAATATGTCGTCAGAAAAGAAGATTACAAGTCAAACAAGAAAATTAAATACCAATATGGCAGGTTGTAGTACAATGTGCTTAGTAGGAAACATGGCCGAGAATTGGAGAAAATAGTACCAATCGTTCAAATTATACTTAAAGGCAGCGTCATTAGATGAAGAATCCGATCCACGTAAGGTTGCATTATTTTTACATTTGATTGGAGACAGAGGAATAGAAAATTTTTAATGCTTTTCAAAAAGACGAAGAGAGCATAACCTATAAAATATGTTAAAAGTTATTTATTTTGTTGTTGTTAAAAAGTTGAACTAACTCATTGAATTAGTTCATCATTTCGTTCCGAAAACAAATATAACATTTGAGTGTCACGATTTCTTCACATAGAAACAATCGGAAGATGAAACAATGGAAGAATTTGTCACCAATCTAAGGACAAAAAGTCAAACATGTGCTTTTGGTAATTTAAAAGAACAATTAATTAAAGTCATGTATATATGTAATATGCATTCTAATTACAGCTTTATTCGAAAAAGATTATTAATGCACGACGAACTAAATCTTGAAGGACCCATAGAATTGTCAAAAACCATGCTTGTTTCCAGTTTGTGTGTCCCTTGAAAATGAATCATCATCCGTTTTGTATGTTAATCGCAGTCAAGTCTCAAAGCCAAATATCCAGTCTAAAATATAATAACAGTCACAAGTCAAGGTCTAAAACAAATAAAAATTTGTGTGGCAAATGTGGACTATTCCATAAATATAAATGTCCTGCGCTTAATGCTAGATGCAACAAATGCCACAAAATTGGTCATTATGAAAAACAATGTGGAACAGAGAAGATTTTGTATGGAGGCTGGTAATAGTGAATTCTTTATTGGTTATGTCAAGTCAAGTGTGTCGTCACAGTCGGAACGGTTAATAAATGTGATTATAAATAATGTCAATGTGAAGTGTATGATTGATACGGGTTGTAATGCCAATGTAATGTCACATAATACATTTAAAAGTCTAAATGTACAGAAGAAAATGTGTCTCTTGTCAGGCAAAAATTAGATCATACAGTGGTGATAATATTGAGGTCATTGGTGAACGACAATTGCAATGTAACTTGTATGTTAATAATTCGTATTTGTGTAAAACTATATCATTTATTATAGTGTCAAATGTATCTTCACCAACAGTCCTAGAGAAAGATACATGTACAGAATTGGGTTTAGTAAAAAGAGTGTTTACAATTGATGAGTCAAGTCAGTTGGGTAAATGTCATTATAAATTAGTCAGTCAGTCCTGTCAAGAACACGTAAATAAAAATGTCTTTACCTAATTTGTCAAATATGTCTAAGTAATTTAGATGTGTCACAGTCATGTCATAACTTAAATTTTATGTCACAGGTACAAAGTCAAAGTTAATAAGTCAGATTTAACTAATAAATTAAATATTACACTTAACAAATATAATCAGGTGTTCTTAGGTTTAGGATATCTGCCTGGTGATACAGTATAAAGGTGAATCCAGAAGTAACACCAAAAATAGATGCTCCAAGAAAAGTACTCTTTGTATTGTACCCTAGATTGCAAGAATTAGAAAAAATGGAACATATGGATGTCATCACAAAGGTCACTGAACCTACTAATTGGGCAAGTTCACTTTTAATGGTAAAAAATAAAATGGACAATTGAGGGTGTGTCTTGACCCCAGAAACTTAAATCGAGCCATCTGTCGCAGTCACTATCCAATACCCACAGTGGATATGGTTCGTTCAAAGGTAGCTGGTGCTAAGTACTACTCTACATTAGAGGCCACTAGTGGATTTTGGATGTGTTGCTTGGATAAAAAGAGCCCACACCTAACTACATTCAACATACCGTTTGGCCGCTATAGATTTAAGCGCCTACCATATGGTGTCAGCGCACCTGAGTATTTTCATAGAATAATGATAGAGTTATTTGGAGATATTCCAGGAGTTACTGTTTTCAGTGATGATTTATTAGTGTCTGGATCAACTATAGAAGAACACAATGAACGCCTCAAAATTATAAATAGCTTTACAATTTAATGTTAAATTTAACAAAGATAAGTGTATATTTGCAAATACACATGTAAAGTACCTTGGTCATATCTTTTCAGGAGAGGGTATAACCCCTGATCATGAAAAAGTCACAGCAAATGTACCAACAGCTCTACAAAGAGTGATGTTAAAAATTCAAGCTTATAGTCTTAATGTAATATATAAAAAAAGGTACACAGATGTACATAGCAGACACCTTGTCCAGAGCGGCATTATCTGAAACTGAAATGGATGAACTGGATGGTGATGTTGTTGTTCATGTCAATTTATTATTGAAGTCTTTTCCTGTGTCACCTGAACGTCTGAATGTTTCAAATTTTAAAAAATTATTATTATCAAGGATGGTCTAAGACTAAAAAACAGGTTGTACCTCAAGTTAATTCAAGACTTAGGTGTTCAAGAATATTGGGCGTATAAAAATCATTTATATGCAGAGAATGATCTACTATTTAGCGGACACAGTATTCTCATTCAAATATACTAAAAATAATACATAGTGGTCATTTGGGAATAGAACGCTCATTTGCTCGAGGGAATGTTTTTGGCGTTTATGTCAAGTTATATCAAAAATATGGTTGAATCTTGTCTTGTATGTCTATCACACAGCAATAATATACCTCTAGAACCTTTATTATCGCATAAGTTGTCACGACTGCCATGGGAAAAACTTGGAATAGATTTCATGTCATATAAAAATAATACATATGTTGTGGTGGAAAACTATTACTCAAACTACATTGAAGTTACTCATGTGAGTACTACTAGTGCTAAAGTTCTCATAAAAGCATTAAAAACTATATTCAGTCGCCATGGTATTCCAGTTGAAATTATCAGTGATAATGGACCGCCATTTAATTCTGTTGAATTTAAACTATTTACTACAGAATGGGGTTTTAAACATACTACATCAAGTCCATACTTATTAAGGTCCAATGGATTAGTAGAATCTGGTGTGAAAGTATGTAAAAGAATTTTTAGCAAGTGTGAGGAGTCCGGTTCAGATCCACAGCTTGCACTATTTCAATACAGGAATAGTCCAAGAGAAACTCTAGCATCTCCAGCACAACTGTTAATGTCACGTAATTTGAGAACTCAGTTACCTACTGTTGCAGAAAAGGTTCATCCAAAAATAGTAAAAGTTGAGAAACATTTAAAATCATAAAATAAAAATCAATTAAAGTCAGAGAAATATTTTAATAAGAATGCAAGATCATTACCAGATTTGAAGGAAGGAGAAAAAGTATATTATAAGAAATGTCCAGAAAGTAAATGGCTGCCAGGAGAAATAAAGGATATATGTTCAGAGCCAAGATCCTATATTGTAGGTGGAGAAGATGGATTTGTTGGTAGGAGAAATCGACAGTACATCATGTTGCCAGCTTCTGGGATGGTCTCACAGTCATCAAGTACAGACATACAACCTGAGGTGGAGCAGTCTACATCCCCAGAACTAGTACCAAGTAAGTGTCCTCCGCTTGATGTAGCATATAAGTTTTCTAGAGCGGGCAGATTGATTAAGCCGCCGCAAATATATAATTTATAATATATCTGATCTGGGACATTTGACTTTGTCTGTGTAATGATTTTATTGTAACTTTGCTCATATAGGAATTACTTCTGTTAACTTGTATACATACATATATATATATATATATATATATATATATATATATATATATATATATATATATATTAATTATATCGTATCAAATATACCAGTCTATTATTTGGCCAAATCAGTACAGTTAAATGGCCCAGAAGTTTATCATTTCAGTTACATATAAAACACTTTCCTTCTCAGGAAATGGGTTTTACAACGTTGTATAATGTTGGCTTTTAAGTAAGATTATTTACCGTTTCCACTGTGGGGAAAGACAGTCGGGCGAGCTGGAATGCAGGAAAAATATTATTTGTTTAAAACATAGTAAAACCCAAAGTTTTCACTCACATATTTTAAGGCGTCAGAAAAATTTTGCAATCAATTCAATTTTCAATATTCAAAATTCAAGATTTTCAATATCATGCTAAGTTTATTTGTCTACCCCCATATAGTTATTTATATTAATTAACATGTAAATACTATTTTTTTCTAATTGTCATCTAGACTGGCATAGGTTCCAAGACCATATAGCGTTTTCGAAGTAGTTTAAAAAATATATTATATATTTACCCACACAATTTTTTTCTTTATTGTAGCATTTTCTTTTAATTTTTCGATGGATCGATTTTGATATTGACATTACAAAGGTAGATATTACTTTAAACTAAATAAAAAATACAGACCAGTTGAAATGAGGATACATCGTTACTTGATCTCGCCTGATGAACTGACAGTACTAACTGCAAATGGAACATTCTAAATATATATATACACAGAAGACATCTAGACTACTAGAATAGTACTCATGCATACAAATGTTTGTATCGTGTGAAAATCGAAAATAGAAACATCAAAAATGGTGCGGTAAATCATTCAATCACTGAGGTAGATAATGGAGGAGCGCTGCCGGAATAAGTCAGCGTGGAGCTTGAATCATATACTAAAGAGATGAAACAGAGACGATTTTACACAAAGATTTTACACTTCTCTCTGAACATAATACGACAATAATATTAGACTTTTTAAACTATTCTACTTCTTATAGATAATATTATTGTCCATATTTCTTATAATATTACTGTATATTATTATATTATAAACCGCGAGCACAGCTAGTGCAGCTGTGCTCGCGGTTTCACCCGCGTGAAATTTATAATCTCTGATGTATAAGCTAAATTATTGTAAAGTTTCATCAAAATCCGTTCAGTAATTTTTGCGTGAGAGTAAGAAATATCCATCCATACGCACAAACTTTCGCGTTTATAATATTTGTAAGATACAAGATAAATATTAAAATGTAACTCACAAAACTTAATATGAAGCCAATTTTTAAATAGCTCATGATTAAAAGTTTGTCCACGAGATCGTAGTAATTTGTCCGACGGTCCAATTTACAGTGCAGTTACAAACCAATTTGAACTAATTGGTTAGTTACTTAATTGGGCTCGTAAAATCTAGCATAAATAATTAAAAGTTGTTATATAAAATGGATTGAAAACTTAATATAAAATAAATTTAAAAACATTGTAACTTACACAAAGACTATAAACAACAATTGAAATGTCGAATAAGCAAAGCCGGGTTGCGTCAGCTTTGGAGCTGACTGCTCCTGAGCTAGCCATAATCCATTACAGCCTTGGCCTGCAGACGGAAGCTGAACAGGCAGTTGGAACCCTGGTTCTAACTGAAGATCAGTGGAGTTCCAGTTCCATACCAGGAATTTGATCTCATGAGGATTAACCAAACCTGCCTGCTGGTGCAGAGGATAAGCCCTCTGTCATTAACTGTTCCGGACCACCGCCTAAGGATTGTAAATAGTTCATAGTTTGTAGAAATAAGTTCGATTAGACATAGCAAATTTATAAATAGAACAATTGTTACATAGTAACAGCTTAAGAATGGTCGATTTAATAGGGACAAATTTATAGAAATTTAATTACTTTTATAGTTTGTTATTTGTATGATTGATTGGACACTATAGGATAAGATGGCAAATAAATGATTATCATTGTTGTAGTTTCACTCCCCGAAAATAAATAGGTCAGAAAATAGAGATAGAATAATATATAGTAGAGAAAATAGATCCCAGAATCAATACATAGGCATAAACCATAAAAGGGATCTTTTATGTAATCATGTACATTTATGTGTAATAGTAGACATTGTAATGTGCGTTGCGCGGCAGCATTCTTACGACTGACGCACGACCTCGCTCTCCCGCGCTATATATATACGATGGGGAAGTTTTTTTTTTCGGACTACTCTAATGCTGTTGGCCGTAGCTGGCCTTTACAGCTTCACCGGACGTTATGGGGTGAGTGCAGATGGCACTCCAAACCCGCGGAAGGACTTATGGAGCGGCTGAAGGCCAACTCCTGCCTGGCGGATACGACTTTAGTCTGAGGGCACCACTAGGGGTTCGAACCTCGGCTCAGGCCGTCGTAATTTCGATCCCCGTTTGAATTGGACGGGAGATCGATCGGAGGGGTCGAGGGGGAAGGGGAGCGAGGTCATATAAAAGGTGCGATCCGCAAAATCGCGGATCATTTCCGCTGACCGACGCGCTAGCGAACGCACGTATGTGCTCGCTAGTCCCGCCGCCGTCTCGCTGTTCTGTGCTCCCTCGAGCAACACACCGCGCGCGCGCACGTAGCGCAGTTACGTTCGCGCGTTCTTATTCTTATACTTCGCCGCGTGTTAGGTGCACTCGGTGCACCCAGCGTGGCCCGGGGCCTCCGTGTCCCGCGCCGACCGCGGCCGACCGCGCTCTCGGCATCCGTTCCGACACAGTGCTACCGGACTTTCCGCGTGTGTAGTGTTGTGTTGTGAGGACTGAAGGAGGACTCTCTTCGTTCAAGTGAAGTGAAGTGTTGTGTGTGGACGTTCAGTGGCACGGACTGTCGTGAGTTAGGGAGGTGCGTCACGCCTATTGCGCGACGCGCCGATCCGAGCCGCCGCCGCTGCCACCAACACCCGCCGACGCCTGCTGCCTGCCGCCCGCCGCCGACGCCACCAAGTAGGTTCGCTTAGGTACACATTTTTCACTCAATAAGATTAGTGATCTTACATATTAGGGTCACATATCAATAGGCACTCACCCCCCTGCCTCGCCCGGCAGGGAGGCCCCCGCTGACACCGTCGGCTGCACCCGCCGACGACCGTCCTTATCTTAAGTACTGACTTACCCTATTGTTTTATTGTATTGTTGTATTGTTATTGTATTGTTTATATTATATTATTATTCTATTCTTTTGAACAGTGGTAATTAACATTACCACTGTTAAAAAAAAATGTCCTTATCAGAGGCCGATATGCCTCTGTTCTTCCAGTTCCTGGAAAAAAAGTGTCCCGGCATCTTAAATGCTTTTATAGCATTCAAAGCCGCCAAGCCCGTCCACTTAGTGTACAGCTCGCCCCCCGCGTCCCCAATGATGACTCACACTGACGAACCGAACACTGACACTGACGAATTCGAGGACGACTCCCAACGGCTCCCGCCGCTTCCCCCGACCCAAGCCGACCAGGCCGAACCCGCCTCGCCCGCCATGGAGCAGGACGACTCCGTCGCGGAGCTTGACGCTCCTAGTATGAAGCTCGACGCCATCCGCGACGGCGACGTCCCCTCTCCCATCCCCCCGGTCTCCTCAGACGAGGACGATTTTATTCTTGTTGGCAACAAGCGTGCCAAGAAGACCCAGGGCTCCCAGCCAGCCAAAACAAAGCGTGCCCATGACGGCACCGCTAAAACCGCCCCCGGTCCGAGTGCACGCAAGTCGCACCCCGAGACCAAAGCCCCGCCCCCCGTCATCATCCAGGACAAAAGTGCCTGGAACACAGTATCCAATATGCTTAAAAACAAGCATATCAATTTCAGCCATGCTAAGGCTACCTCACTAGGGATCAAAGTATCAGTCCCATCATCTGACGACCATCGTCGTCTCACCACCTCCTTCCGGACCACCGCTTAAAGATTATATATAGTCATAGGAGAAAAACATAGGTTATCACACCTATGCTCTCGAGGAATGATTATAAGTTTCACTCCCAAAAAATAAAAGCTCCGCGTTGTAATACGCGGCTTACCCAAGGAGCTCTCAACAGACTCCATCCTCGAGGACCTTCAGTCCCAGAATTACCCAGCCGTCGTTTGATGTACATGTTATAAGAGTAAAATGTAAGCGATAAAATATAATAAAAATTGTATGGGTAATTAGCCATCGTATGTAGCGTCCAAAAGCGCTACAGTGATCGCGAAATTGATCTCCGAATAGTGAAATCGACCTGAAAAGTAATCAACCACTGAAGAAATTCTCCTCGCCTCTGCATTCTGAACCACAAGAACCGTTTTTTCATTTACTACCCGTCCACCACGCAACAAGGCCGCTATCGACCTTGTTCTAGTTGTATTAGACTTATCCCCAGAAGGCAAATCGATCTTTGATATAAAGAGCGTTTGCCAACTATCCTCACTCTCCGTAGAGGCGCCTCGCAAGCGTACCTACCCCGGACAATGCCACCGTTGTCAGAACTACGGGCACTCTGCCCGTAATTGCTTCGCTCGCCCACGGTGCGTTAAGTGCCTAGGCGATCACGCCACCGCAGATTGCGGCCGTAGGCCCAACACCCCCACGCCCCCCAGTTGCACCCTCTGCCTCACAGAGGGTCACACCGCGAATTACCGCGGTTGTTCACGCGCCCCACGTCCCGCCAAAAAGAAGGCCAACCACACCCAGGGCAACCGTGCTCCGGCACGTGCCCCCGCCAAGGCTCAAACACAACCCGAGCCACTCGTACCCGCCCCTTTGCCTGCTAACAATGCCTGGATTAAACCCCCGGCAATTGTAAGCAAGGTAGCACCCAACCTGCCCGCCCAGAAAGCCCCGCCCGCCCAGTCGGCCCCGCCCGCCCAATCGGCCCCGCCCATGCCCATACACAAACCCGTCCCCAAAACACTGCCCGCGGCCCCCAAGGCCAACGGCAGCTCCCTCGCGCAGGACTTCGCATTGGTCGCTCGCTTAGCCAGCACCATCGACCCTAACGAGATTGCCCTTCTGGCCTCCAAGCTCCGCCTGTATAAGGAGTCGCCCCAAAATAGGCTCCGTCTGCGAGCACATCCGCGTACTTACCGCCATCCTCAATTTTAACCTGTAATTATGGGTACTCGAGCTCAGAGAGAAAAGCCTCGGTCCGTTCGAATAGCGTTTTTCAACGCGTTCGGATTAAAAAAACAAAAGGAGGAAATAGCCTCCTTTCTCACTGACCACCAAGTCGATATTCTTCTCGTGCAGGAGACCCTACTGAAACGTTCAGTCCGCGATCCTAGAATCGCCAATTACAACATAGTTAGGAACGACCGCACCGCCTGTAGAGGCGGCGGTACGCTCATATACTATAAACGGTCCCTACATTGTATACCGCTACAAACACCGCCTCTCACTCATATGGAGGCCTCCGTCTGTCTTCTTGGCATGACCGGCCACCGACCGCTCGCCGTAGCATCCGTATATCAGCCTCCCGGCAAACTACTGCTGGAAAGCGACCTACGCGCCCTCCTAGATATCAACAGCGCCACCATTCTGGCTGGCGATTTGAATTGTAAACACACCCGCTGGAACTGCCACGTGTCCACGACAAACGGCCACAAACTAGACAGACTAGCCGACTCGCTCGAATTCGAGATAATCGCCCCGCTCCGACTCATTATCCCCATAACGTGAACCACCGACCCGACATACTGGACATGGCACTGCTGAGGAACGTAACCCTACGGGTGAGCTCCCCAGAAGTCCATGCCGAGCTTAACTCGGACCATCGACCGGTAACCCTCCTTCTGGGCCCTCCGCCCGACACGCCACTACCAACCAAAACAATAACAGACTGGCAACGACTCGAGAAATCTCTCGAATCGACCGACACACCGATACTCAACCGTATTCCCGACGTCATAGAGTCCACCGAGGACACTTTCATTGCGATCGACTCGCTTACTAACCACCTGCAGTCGGCAGTCAAGGACTGCTCCAGGGAGGTACCGGCGACGGACGACCGTCGCTGGCAGCTCCCCGATGACGTAAGGAGGTTAATAAGCGATAAGAACGCTGCCACTAGAGCGTACGATCGCTACCCTCCGAACCGAACCGGGTGCGCCTGCGAGCCTTACAGCGTAGCGTTAAGGAGCGCATCGCGCAGATCCGGGACGGCCGGTGGGGCAAGCTCCTAGAAGAGATAACGCCATACCACACCGCGTACTGGCGCATAGCGAAATCTCTCAAAACCGACCAATAGACAAACGACATGCCCCCGCTAGTCCGACCCGACAACACTATAGCCTTCTTCGACGAAGACAAGGCTGAGTGTCTAGCGTCCAACTTAGAAGCCCAATGCTCCCCCAGCACGCTACCAGTCGAGGCAGGTCATCTCGAGAAGATAGACACCGAAGTCGAACGCATCGCGTCCACCCCGCCCACCGAATCCCTCTCACCAGTCACGCTTGATGAGGTCAAAACGCTAGTTAAACAACTACCTATCAAAAAATCACCCGGCTCAGACGGCATATCGAATAGATTAGTCAAAAGTCTGCCATCCCAACTTTTGTTATTACTCGTCGCTATTTTTAACGCGGCGCTGTCCAACGCTATATTTCCAGACAGCTGGAAAGAAGCCGTGGTCATTGGCATCCCCAAGCCCGGTAAAAATAAATCCGACCCGTCCAGTTATCGTCCTATCAGCCTCCTCAAGGCTATAGGCAAGCTGTACGAGCGAATCCTCCTCGCCCGCCTAAAGGAGTTTATATACTCCAAAGGCCTGCTCATCAATGAGCAGTTTGGCTTCCGAGCCAAACACTCATGCGTCCATCAAGTACACCGCATCACGGAGCACATTCACAAAAACACTCTGTACTTCGCCACCAAGTCCCCCAAAGGCGGTACAGGCGTCCTATTTTTCGATGTGGCTAAGGCTTTCGATAAAGTCTGGCACAACGGCTTGATTTACAAGCTTCATCAGTTAGGTGTCCCCGACAGGCTAGTACTCATTGTACGAGATTTCCTGTCGAATCGCTCTTATCGCTACCGTATAAACGGAGCGTTATCCGACCCGCACCCCATACGAGCCGGCGTCCCTTAGGGCGCCGTCCTCTCTCCGATGCTCTACTCGTTGTACACCAACGACATCCCCAAATTCTCCGACTTAAAAGTCGAAATGTCGCTGTTTGCCGATGACACGGCTCTCTTTACATCCGCCAAGTCCCGTGCGACAATAGCCAGACGGCTTCAGAAAGCCGTAACGATACTGGGCGAATGGTTCCGTCGGTGGCGCATAGAAGTCAATCCCGAAAAAAGTGCAGCAGTGTACTTTAGGGAATTCAAATCTATGAATCACCCGATCGAACTATTCAGCCAAAACATCCCGTGGGTTTCGAAAATGAAATATCTCGGTGGCACCCTAGATAGGAAACTAACGTTTCGTCCTCACATCAAGCGTGTCCGCGACCGAGCCGCCTTTATACTAGGGCGACTCTATCCTTTTATTAACAAGCACAGTAAAATGTCGCTTCACAACAAGCTGACATTATACAAGGCTTGCATCCGTCCCATCATGACTTACGCTAGTCCCGTATTCGCCCACATACCCTGTTTAATCAACAGACTACAGATCATACAGAATAGGTTTCTGCGTCGAGCCACCGGTGCGCAGTGGTTCGTTCGCAGCGTAGATCTCCACCGCGATCTTAATTTGCCCTCCATCAAATCTCCAAAAAATTGACACCTAAAGATTCTCCTTACCGATAATTTTTTTTTTATTATTCTTTTTCAGTTAAATATCGACTATTATACCTTTTTAGATAGCTTATTAGATGAGAAAGTAATTTGTACGCTTGGTGTCAAAATGTTTTTAAGCTACATAGCACTTAAACTCAAGTAACGTTTAATTTATAAAAAAAAAAACCGTTTGTAGTCACAGCAATTACTCTAAAATACTCCTGGGTATTTTGTGAGATATTATGTTTTGTTACCAAGTCCTCTACACATAAAAATTTGGTTTAAATAAGACATTCAAAATGTTGACTTTCTTCTCTTTCATAAAAAAAAATAATAATGTTGGAAAGACTAGTAGTAATTTATAGACATGGCAGAACAGGACATGACGAAATTGGTCTCAGCTAAAGGTCAGTGCGAAGCTACTATTGCACGTTTAGAAAAGTTTTTTGCGGATGAAAGTAAAATATTTATGACAGACAGCTTGTGAGAAAAAAGAGCTTGATTGAAACTTATTCTAAATATCAAGAACTGTCACTGAACTTACAATTATTATATTCAATTAGTACAATTAGTATAGTATAGTATTATAGACGAGGAGGGGGAAGCTGAGGAGCGTTATTATAATTTGATGGCAATCATCGAGCGTAAACTTAAGTCCCCTCCCCAAGGAGAGCACTCTCATTCATATAATGCGTCTATGCTGCCGTCCTTGGATATACCAGTCTTCGACGGCTCTATCTTTATTGTTGTTACCTGAAAATGTTTAGTGATCTAGATCAGTCTCGATCATAAAGGCTATTACAAAAACCGACAAGACGACCAGATTCGGAGGACGCTTTACAGTTTGCTGCTTGTAGTGCTAACCGTTGGTCGTGTGATCCTCTGCGAAATTCCTGTCCCAGAGTGAGCCCCGCAACGGTGCCCTTGCACAAACTGTTGAGAGTGTCTCGATGCTATCCCACGCTGCTCAATATATTCGTCAGATTATATTGTTCAGCGAGAGATGGCGCTAGGATTGCAGAACGAATTTGTTGTCGCAAATTTGCTTCAAAGAATTATGGTCGGATTTTTAAGCGGGACATAAAAAAATAACACTTGCAGCAGATTCTGGAAAGTGTAATTACATTACTAAAGGTGTTTATGATTGTACAGAGGAAATATATTCAACATACGTAATACTTTTAATTAATTTAATTAATCACAAATATATTTGCCAAAGTTGATTATATTTCCTTTCTCAGGATCTTATTCCGATTGGGCTGATTTATTTATACCTTTAATTCATCAAAATAATAGCTACCCAAACTGTGCGTCTCAGTGTTGACTCAGGGGAGTTGCGTGTCGATTGCGACCGAGTCGAGAGAGTGCCGGGGGACCATTCTGACTAGGGATGGTGATCTGAGATCATTTTTTTCTGTTTTGGTATAAATAAACCATACAATTAGTATATCATATAGACTCTACTCTAGATATACAGAAACTGCACTACTTAAAAGGCTGCTTAACGGGGGGAGCATAGTTTTTAAAACTTGTCCCTAGAGTAGGCAGTAGCTACCAATGGTGCTGAAGGAGAGGTATAATAATAAAAAATATATAAGTCATCAAGTATTGAAACGTTTCTTAATTCAGAAAAATTTAAGATCAGAAACTGCTAGTGGCATAAAAGAATTAATTGATACTACCAATGATTGTTTGGCAACATTGACTGATCTAGGTATCAATATCAAAAGTTTAGGACATATTAACACCCTCACTGCATTATGAGGTCGAACAAACCACATGCGTGGGTTCTCGCAGGTGCGGTAGTCTCGCGGACTCTTCTCGCGTCTCGCGGACTCTCGCGTGGGAGGAAAATCGCGTTCTCTCACTCTATGCGGGGAGCGACCGCTCGGCCGACCGGCGCGCTGGTATTCTTACGATTTATTAGTATACCTAAACTAGCTAGTTTTGTATTATGGATCTACCAAGCCGTAAACGTTGCAAAAAGAAGCTCGTGTTAAGTGATTCAGATTCGTCAAGTGGAGCGGATGAAAGGAAACGAAAAGTTAATATATAGAAAAGTGCTACAGAGAATTAGTCCAACCAGAAATTCTTCTGTGAATAAGGTAAACATTTTGAAAAATGTTCAAATTTGCCCGCCCTCTACTGCAAAGTCAGAAAATGAGATCGACAGTGATTTTTATTCATCTTCTAAAAAATAAGGAAATTACAACAAAAGAACGAATTCTTCGTTAGTCGCAAGTACTAGTAAATAATATAGTGTCCTCAAAAGTATAGAAATACAAAGTTCAGAAGTAAACCCAATTTTACTTACACCAACTCAAAAATTTAAACGTTAGAGTAACTACAACCAGAGCCGGCCGCCGTCCCCTGATTCTTTATAT